GATGGGTTACACGATGGAAAGTTTTTCCATAGGCCGTCATAAGATAATTACCTCCATTGTTAGCTATTCATGGCTTCGACTAAGGTTTGGGACGTGATGGTTTTGGGGGAGAATGTCCTAAAACCGGATCACTGCGTAACAAAGGTAAGCTAAAGAAACAGCCAGCATAAAGACACCAGTTAGGGATATGCTCCAGATTCATGGGGTAGTTCTTGTAGAGAACTATTATAATATCAATGCAAAATGGACCGGCAGGAAAGAAAAAAGCAGAAGAATCCGTATAAACTGCTCAAGCTTAAAGGCAAAGTTCGGGCTCAGACCCACCTAAGAAGCCCTTACCATGGCTAGAAGTGCTGGGTACGCAAGTGCAAAGGTAGCGCCACCTTTCTACATCGAAACGCGTCACTAGGACCCTAGGCGCCATGGACTTCTAACAGACTCCACCAAACTTAACATGGTCCGCCCACCGTTCGATATCTTGTCTGCGTCGCCACGTTGATCTGCTATGCTCTCTCTTCTCGGACTTCTCTACCACTCTCCGCGCTCACATTATCTCTCATCTCCCTGCCTGTCTTTTGAACTTCTCCACAGCATGGAGCAAAATGCTCGTATTTCCTGTGTATTTCAGGATTTTCTTTCCCTTTTTCTCCACTGGCGGTCCACCTCCCACCCTACTTTCACATTTGAGTGGAATCATGGAATCACCCCATCAATTCAATCCTGATTCTTGCCTTTAAGGCTAAATCACCTCCGTAACGCCGCTGTGCGAAGGCGATGAGAAACTAAGCGCGTAGAGGAGAATACGTATTGAAAGAGTGCAACAGATGAGAGAGCCCCAGACAAACGCTTGCTGCGGTCGGGGGAAATTGAAGCGGTGGAAGATGTCTGTAAGGGTCTCACGTCAAGCTATTTCTATGCACAGAAGTTGATGACTGGCTTCTACGACTCTCTCCACAGACTAAAGGGAATCATTCTTAAGACTTCTGCATGGGTTGTGCCTTTGAGTAATTAATCGCAGTTGTTTGCGTTAGCGAGTGAAAAAGAGCGCCATGGACCTGCCTTACAAGTGAACGATCCTAGGTCGGAGTAGCCCATCATAATACAGGCAGAAAGGCATCTTCGTGTCAAACAAATGCGATTCTTGTGCTGTAGGGGCCGAACAACCCCTAGAGCCACTTTCAGCCAAATCAAAATTTCCAACCCTGCTTCGAGAAAGTGGAATCAAAGATGAAGAATAAAGAAGTATCTGTCTTATGCCATCTCCTTGATTTATGTATCCTTACTTTCCCTGTGCGGAAGTGGTGTAGTGACAAGTGGCGCGCTCACCACGCGAGCGGTCCGGGGATCAAATCCTGGGTCGTGAGTCGCCCGGGCCAACCAAGCCTTCCATCCCTCCGGGGTCGGTTAATTGGTACCAGACTTGTCTGGGAGGATAAAAACACTGACTTGTACATCGGCTGGCCCCCGCAAGTCATTGTATAGGCCACATCGCATTCAAACGCCACTAAGCTTCTAAATGGAACAGAACGCGTGGCGCACTCCGAAAAAGATTGATCAACGCCGGGTACTTTATCCTTTAGTTTCGCTTACGGAGCAGTTTTTTTCGCCACTCTACTTTCATCCACCTAAGCGCTATGAGAATAAAGACTAACGAGAATTGACTCTAGGTTTTCATTTAATTAACAAATTTGTTTGATACAATTTTGTATTGAGAAAAAGCAACTGGGGCGTACAATAGACATGAAAGTGATTCACAGAACAGCACTAAGCTCCCTGGCCTTGTTCTGACATGTAGTGAAGCACTGAAGCTTCCTTGCTTTCCCTTGCCCTGCTACCTTGCTACTTCTGGTCATTGCATATTATGGTCACATTGATTTTTTTACTATCAGGAGCAAACTTTATTCTTGGATCAGTTATGGATGAACTTGTCCTAATAATATAGCAAGAGCGATAACCCAGTCCAGATTTTATCAACCCACGGTTGCCCCACTCTCTGGATGTTAGGTCATGATCTCAGACTTTCCCAGAGGTTTGACTCCCTACCCCTAATTAAACACCTAAATAGCGCGAATAAATTTGCTCGTGCGCTACCTGCGCCAAGGAATTCAGACCATTCTCAAAAAATGTCACAATCTGCGGCAATCGGCAGTTGTTCAAGGCGGGCTCAATAGATAATTCTCTGTGCCTTCTCGCACGACCTGCTCCCTCACGTTGTCTGACTTCTCTGCTCGCTCTTGATCTCCATCGTGCCACATTCAACGTTACAAAAATTTAGGCCCTTAATTTCAGTGTTTTCAATGGTTTCTTTTGCTTTCTTCTTCAACTACTGCACACTCTGTACCTTCACCTTCATTACTAAGCGCTCTTGCCCTATCCTATTCTGGGACTTTCCTTGAGTTTCCTTCTCGTCGAGTAAATTGTGTATAATTTCCTGTGGTATTTATCGACTAATAATGAGTATTCTGAGATATATCGCTTTGAAAGAGGTGATCAAAAATCTTAGGTACCCGACAAAAGGCCCAAAGCGCGGCGAGAAGGCAGAGACGCAGACGGTCAGCGGACGAGTCGCAGCGCGTGCTGTGTGTGGGACGTACTATAGTACATTCTATAAAACCTGACGCGATTGCAGCACGCGCTGCTGACCTGTCTGCGTCTCTGCCTTCTCGCCATAGGACGTACATCCTGTCGGGGTACCCAAAATCTTACTCGCTTTCCAGTCAAAATAATATTGCAATATGTTATTTCGGGCGGAAGTGGTGTAGTGGCAAGTGGCACGCTTACCACGCGAGCGGTCCGGGGATCAAATCCTGGGTCGTGAGTCGCCCGGGCCAACCAAGCCTTCCATCCCTCCGGGGTCGGTTAATTGGTACCAGACTTGTCTGGGAGGATAAAAACACTGACTTGTACATCGGCTGGCCCCCGCAAGTCATTGTATAGGCCACATCGCATTCAAACGCCACTGCGAATGTCAAACGCCACTACGAATGTACAAATGGAAGTAGAATGCGTGCCGCATCCCAAAAAGGGATTGATCAACGGCAAATGCTTTATCCTTTATCCTTTAATATGTCATTTCAACGCAGCCCAGTGACGACACAATGTTGCGTCACTACACTAGGCTGCATAGAGACTACAAAAGAAGGGTTCTTCTAATAGTTCCCCCATGAGTGGAAATTTTTGCATGCGTCTAATTTTCATTTCTCAGTGCTATTTGCATGCTCATTAACGTCATTACCATAACTTAATAGTAGTGCAGTTTGCTTATAGGCTTCATGAATCGACATGCAATCCGAAAAAGTGACCAGTATCATCGAGTATTGCTTACTATCAATCTTAATCTAAAGGTAAAACATAGCTGAGGTTGATGCGATGGTTTAGTGGAGCGATTATATAGTCACTTTTTTATACATGGAATTAGAGCTTCACAGGCCTATTTTTCAGCTCATTTATTCCAAATTAGCAGGAGTGGGTGTCTCAAATTTTCACATAATCGACGTTTTATAAAAAACTTAATGTTGCCAAAGGTCAGTATTCTGCAGTGTCGCTCCAATCGATTTGCAGTTCGTCGCACTTTCGTACCATTTCTCAATAGCGCCCCATATGTCGGTGTTGTGTATGTTGTCATAACTGACCCTTGCACCCAGGACCGTACTCCTCCCTGCACGAGCTTATTGGGCGACTCCACTGCAGGACAAATACTGCCCACCGACGCTGACCCATCCATACCAACCTCACTGTCGCAATGCGAGGCATCGCGTTCTGCGGGGCAGTGGAGGCATGCCTCCAGAAGCCGAACAGAGGATGGGCAGCACCGAATGCTGTTAGCGCTTGGGCCGGCGGATTGCCTTGGAGCATTGCGTTTTTTAGTAGCTACGGAATACTTCGGTCAACCTTGGACCGCTGCATCGTAGCCATCGTCAAATGGGAAGGACCGAAGCTCGGAACCTTCACCCACACGAATGGGCTTATGAGCACGGATGTGAGCAATACTATTGTGGACCCACTTTTTCCTCCAGAATGACCCTAGAGCGGTGGGGCGTACATATTTCTCAAGAAAAAGTTCTCTAATTTCGCCTATTTCGGTCATTTTCATGAATTTATC